TGTAGCCGTTACGTGCGTGACGGGGTACCCGGGAATAGCACGGTGTTGAATAAAAGCATAACAATTCCTCACGCACATAAGGGTTAGAAAAGAACACATTTTACTTTTATTGATAAAACACAATTCTTTGACTGAGAAAACTTTCGAGTTGACAATTTGCGAAGAGAATTTTTTGCTTTAAATTTGAAATTATGAATTCTTAATTTTTCATCCCGTTTTCCTTAAAAAAATAACACAAAAGGAATGTTATTGAGAGTGTATTGTAAGGTATACTGTTTATTGAAATATTAAATTATCTAACCAGTAGGGCACACAGCAATACTGCTGCAATGTGACGTTTTGGTATGTATTACATTATATGAGAGATTATTATTATATTCCGATACACACTTCGTTCAGTGTTCCCCTTAATAAAAAAAAAATACCACACACGAACCATTACACAAATGATCGATCCTACTACCGTACGTACACTTTGTAATTAATTGTTATTAAATAATTGTCAGAGATGTTATTGGGATTGAACCCAGGCCTGCTGGGGTGAGAGGTAATCACGCTTACCACTACACAACCGGCGCCACTCAGGATCAATTTGATTTAAACAATATTTTATTTAGCAATGGCAAAGGTGGGTGATTTCATAAATAGTATAATTTATCTATTCTATTGGTCCAGACTTTTGGAGAAGTTTAAAGATCTATAATCGTAAATTTAGAAAAAATTCAGGATTGTTCCATAATGCGCTGAAAAAAACGAGAACCTCTGTTGAGAGAATTTCAGGGCAGTACAGAGACCTTGTTGCTTGATTTCGTATCCATATGGGACTGTTATGCGATTATGGGTAGTTTAGTGAATTTATGAAAACTTCCGAAATATTCAGCAACTTCACAGAAGTTCAGAGAATGTGAGGTGTTTACGGGAATTCCATTTATTTCCGATCAGAACCGAGATCTTCAATGGGGGCTTCAGGGAAGCTTCGAGAACATCAAGACAGATCAAAGGGCAGTTCAAATAATTTCAAGAAAATTGTCGAAACCTTAAGGAAGTTTCGAGAAACTCAGGGAATTTCCGGAAACTTCAGCAAATCGCCGAGAGAATTTGTGCAACGTGATAAAAATTATATGAACATCCGGAAGACGTGAGAGTATATTAAGGGTGTTATATCATGGAGATTTCAAGAACTTAAAAAATGCGAAAATTTAGCTTAGTTGATTAGAGCACATCAACAAAGTTTCATTAATTAAAAAAATGCGAGAATTTTTAGCAAGCGGCGATATATTCAAGAAATTCCAGAGAACTTGAGCAAAGCTCCGACTACTTCGAGGACGATCCGATAGCTTCAGAATATCCCATTATTTTAAGCAAATTTGCAGTGACTTACAAGGAGTTCTGTGGAGTTATGGGGTATTTCAAGAATTCTATGATTGATCAGAAAACGTCTGAAGCGTCAGGGAATTATGAATATATATCAGAAAATTTGCCGGATTATTAAACAAATTTAATGAACTTCAGGTAAGCATAAAAAGTTCAGGGAAAATTAGTGAGCGTTTTTAATGGTTAAAATACTTGAGAAAATTAGTTGAAGCTTCAAGGCAAATCAATGAATTTCAGTAAAGTTGCGGGCTCTTTAAAATACTGATAAATTCAGAACAGTCTAGAGAGCTTTAAAGAAATTCAGTAATCATTAAGGCAGTTTTAAAAACACCAGGAAAGTCGAGACTACTGAAGAAGTTTTAAATATGTGTCGATAATTTAAGGGAAGTTTCAAGAACTTCAGAACAATCTTGAGAACTTCAGTGAAAATCATAGAACTTTATTAATTATTTCGTTCTAATTCGATGAAATCTGCGGAAGCACAAAAGTTCCAGAAATTTAGAAAAACTTCGAAAACTTCACAGAAGGACAGGGATCTTCATAAACATTTCGAGAAATCTATGGAGCTTGAGAGGAGATCTGCGAAGTTCAGGATTTGTTATGTAAATTAGCAAAATGCGGCAGCTTTTGAAAGAAGTTTAGTAAGCTCCGAAAATTGGAGGAACTTCAGGGGGCGGTCAGTTCCATTAGTTTCAGAAAATTAGTGGGAATTTAAAGCAGTTCCCAGATTTTCCGATAAATTCAGAGTCGTTAAAAGGTTAATTGAGGTCAACAAATAAGTTCAGAAGTTTACTGAAGCTTAAATATTTTCAGGATGGTTTAATTAAATTCAACGCAGTACAACAAGCTTCTTTAGAAGAAGCTTTGAGTTTTGAGAATTTCAGAAAAAAAAAAGAACCTCAAAGCAGAAGTCACATAAATTTTAAAGAAGTTTAGAGAACTTCAGCGAATTTTTAAACCTTTAGAGGAGATTCATGTTCGTTTTGTGAAATTGAGGAAAATTTTATAAATCCTTTAAAATTCAGAGAAGTTTGAGAATTTGATGAGAAGTATTGTGACCATCAGCACAGAACAGAAGGGGAAGTGCAAACAAATCGGTGAATCAAAAAGTGCTCGTTTTTCTGCTCAACGAGCGATGTGTTGTGGTAGCGTTCCACACGGGCTTTCTATGTGCACTCACACTTTCATAGCATGCTGCCTATTTTAACTGCAGGCCGAAGATGCCTTCTACCGCTAGGTGCGCTAGTGTTCGCAAATGACAAGTGGAACCACTTTCTGATTCGAAGTTCCACTCCTGTGCCATCAGGCTAGTTTTTCAAACTACAAAAGAACTTCAAGGCGATTTCATTAACTTCAGGAAACATTTGGGAACTTTCAACTAGTTTTGAAAACCTCAGAATAGTCCAGTCCATATTCAATGGAGATTTCCATTGAAATATTGCTCAAAATTTCAATGAAGCTATCCTCCGAATTCAATTTTCTTTTAGTTTTCCTTGGAATTACTTTGAATTCTCCAGAAAAAGAAACCCTTTGGGAAGATTCTCCGAATACCGTGCCGATTCAAATTTCGGACACTTAAACTCGAATTTCGGACACTTTTAAAAGTTGATTATCTCGGTCGAATATGATCCACATGTCTTGTAAATTTTAAATTTTTTTGACTAGTGCCCTCCACGATCATCTAACATTATTACCGTGGGGGACCGAAATCCATACAGCATCGAAATCCGTACACCTCATACAAAAAGTAGGCGTTTTGTATGAAATGTACGGATTTTGATTCATTTCTTAGGTGTACGGATTTCGGTTCGCCACGGTACTTTGTTTCTAACTGGATATAATATTTAATTAAAAATGAAAGTGTCCGAAATTTGAATCGTCCGAAATTTGAATCGGAACGGTATTCATTGAATTCAGCTCACTCCTTCCCTTGAAATTCTACTCATTGAATGTCTCCTAAGAATTCGTTTGCATGTCTCCTTAGATTCATTGCAGTTTCTTAGATTTCTTCTCATTTTTTGCTTAGCAAATTCTCCTGAATTAATGTATTTAAATAAAACCATGGACTTATGCTGCGGATTAGTGTTCTCCCACAAACTTTATGAAATTATCCTCAGAATGCCATTGGAATTTTCCTCTGAAGTTCACAGGAGTTGTGCTCCTCAGAAATTCCTAAGAGTTTTAATTAAAATTTACTTTTAATTCAATTCAGAGCTTCTTGAAATTCTACTCAAAACCATCAGGCTTCACATGAAATCTAAAATTCCTCAGAACTACCTTGAAAGCAGATTGCATTTGATGGGTTAAAGGTCCATGTGTTAGTTCATGTAAAAATGTCCAGAAAGCATTAATATACACCTATCTGAGGAAAGTAATAGCTGATGGAATTGTGTTGCGAAAAGCCGGGTAGGCACTACACCTGGAATTTTGTTGAAAATTACAAAAAAAAAATCAAGGAATATCATGGAATTATGTTTTTTTCATTAAGTCGACTGTCTGAACTACCTTGCAACATGAGTTATCCTGGATGTTTCTTTCGACATACCTCAGAAATGTCTTCAGACTTTCTTCCGAAATGTATTTTGCCTTCATCTGGGAAGACTCTACCAACTTCTGGCTGGTGGTGCTTTTTAGCAAAGAATTTCGAATACTTAATTTTTCCAAGTTCCAAAATAACCAAATTGTAGAAAAATGTATAAACTCTGCAAATATGATGATGTGATTTTGAGAGAATATCGGCAACACTTCCTAGCTCCCACTGTCTCCGAGTTCATTAATGGTTCATTTTCTCCCGTTTCTCTCGGGTGGGAGCCGAGCGCTACCGTTAGCACCGCCTGCGCCGCGCCCGTGTGCCGAAGCCGATGCCGGTATTTAATCTCTCATTCATTTCATTTCAACCGCCACTCCGGACGGACGTGGTGCGTGCATATTCACGCCGGTGCTATTAGATATTAAGTAGCTTCTTAGAAGTAGTCAAAATCATTCAATAGTTGATCGAATTTATAATTTGTGTAAATAATTCTGGAAATAGTGACCAGCTTCACACCCGGGGGAATTACGTAAGTAGAGATTTCTATGTAATTTCGACAGAAGCCACTTATTCGAGACCATGAGGAGTAGCGAATCAAAGATTGAGGTTATGCTACCAGCATGTGTGTCTGCTGCCTGCTCTGAAGGTCAAAGCCCTCTGCTGCTGCTGTTGCCTGGTGGAGAGTGACGACAGAGCGCACGTGCTCCCAATTTTTTCGGCCGCTTATGTGGTCGCTGAACTACCCGGTTTATGTGGTCGTCGTGCTCTCAGCCTGGCTTCGGCGTTATGTACCTATACTTTTCTCTTGAGTGAACGATGACTGGGGAGTAATTTGGTCGTCGTCATACTAACTGGTGTGGCATCCGGTAAATCAAATGCCTCCCATTGATTTTTCGTTTGATGGGAGGTTCAATCCGTGATGCTAGAGTAATCCATGTGGAAGGGCAGTTTTCGCTAACACCACCTACAACTCATACGGTGGGGCTAGATAGTAGCTGCCTCTACAGATCGATTATTTAATTATAAGTGCGTCATAATCTTAGATTTTCCTGAATCCTAATCGGTACTAACAAGATGTTTATCGTTCCACTTGTAGGGTAATCAAGCACCATTCCCTGGCAACAATAATGCAGCAACGAACAAACGGTTCAAACAGGAAGATGGCCGACCGGCACAGCTTCCGAACTTCTATCTCAACCAGCAGCAGTTGGAGATGCTTCGGTATCTGCAGCAGAATCAGACCAATCTTAATACCCAGCAGCAGAGTCTTCTGCAGCAATATGCCCATCAGTATCGTTTGATGCAACAGCACCAGCTTCGTCTGCAGCAGGCCCAGCAACAGCAGCAGCGGAATCAGCTTGTACCGGGATCGCCCGCGACATTCCAAGGTCAAGGTCAACAACAGCCGGCACCCCTGGCCGGTGGAGGTGGTGGTTATCCCCCACAGCTAGCCCAACTGCAGCAGCAGCAGCAACAGCAACAACAGCAGATTCTAACCGGCAATGGCAACTTTGCCGCGATCAGTAATCAGATGTTCAAGACCGCGTCGGGAACGTACGGAGGCGGATTCCAAAGTCAAACCAGCGGTGGTGCTGCCTTTACGCAGATCTCGTCGACCAATCAGTCGGATTTGGGTGAGTGGATGACTTTTTTTTTACTGCCTATTAATACACTGGGCGAGATATAAGTAGGGTAATTTGCCAATAATTGCATACTGATTTATCTTGTTGGAGCAGAATTTATTAGTTTTTCAAGAATTAAAAGCGACATGAAATTCTCACCCATGTTGAGGAAGATCACCATTTAATGCACAAAATTAATCCAAATTTACCTGTTGGGGAAGGAGGGGCATAGTGAGCATCCCGCACTTTGACTCTGGATCTCCAGCTGCATGAAACAAATCAACTGGTAGTAGGTTCAACCACCAACCAATTTGTTCCGAACAGCCGGCAGTCCAAGGTGGTGCACGGGTTGCTCACTAAGCCCTATCTGTTAACTATGCCCCTCTTACCCCTAAAGCCGTCACAAATGTTGGATCAGACTGTTGAAAGACTAATTCCGAAATGCTGAAAATGTGCTGCCAGTCATTTTCAATATAATCCATTGGCAAATTGCTCTACGAGACAACAATGTTTCGCTCACTTCTAAACCAATGTTCTCGTTGTGAACTGCTCTTTCCATTGGACGTGAGCTTTTCACTCCATCAAACATTGGGACATCAACGAATGCGTCCGGATGGACGTTGGATCATTCAAAAGGATTCTTTCACAGCTTGGATTTTTCCCAGAACGATTCCGACATTTTTCAACATCCAATTGCAACAACCCCATCAACCATACTTCTTTTACTTAACATATTCATCAAAACAATTCTCCCCTCCCCCTCACAGACCAAGAACTGCAAGCCCTCCTATCATCCAAGGACGACACGGCCAATTTCGCCGAAACACTGCTGAAGCAGTTCGGCTCCGACGATTTGGACATCAAGGACATCAAACCCCTGGATCCGCAGCAGAATGGCACTGCCCTGCCCGCCGATTCCACCTCGTCCCGACCGGATGGGGAAAAGTCACCGACAATTAAAGCCGAAGCAACCTCATCTACCGGAGCCGGTTCCACTAGCAGTAGTTCCAGTTCGGCGGTGGCTGCCGCGGCGAAACGTCACCTGCTGGCCAAGCACGACATCAAGCTGGAACCGGTCATAAAGATAGAAAAACTAACCGAGCCAAGCACCAAACCCGGTTTCTCGATCGATATGACGGCGAAGGAATTGCTGCAAGCGGCCAAGAAATCCGACCTGAAGGACGTTCCGGCCATCTGTTCGACGTTGGCCCTGGACGCGGCACCTCCCGCCCCTCCAGAGTGTCCCCCGCAGCGATTGACCCGCGAACAGTTGCAACCCCCGACTCCATCCGTGTTCCTCGAGAACAAGAAACATGCCTACAGTCCACAGCTGCAGGAATTCTGCCTAAAGCATCCGATCGCTGTCGTTCGGCAACTGGGCGCTGCCCTCAAGCTCGATCTGGGACTGTTTTCGACCAAGACCTTGGTGGAGGCTAACCCGGACCATAGCATCGAGGTGCGGACGCAAGTTCATCAGTCGTCGGACGAGAATTGGGATCAATCGATGAAGTCGAAGGTGTGGGCGTGTATTTCGCACCGATCGCACACGACCATCGCGAAGTATGCCCAGTACCAGGCTTCCAGCTTTTCGGACAAGATCAAGGTAAGATTTCGGGGTGGACATTTCTTAACAATCGGCTTAACTTTTATTTTCAAATGATGTCCAGCTTATAACTTTCGTTCTACTGAACTTTCAGCCTGAAGAAGCTTTTCTTTTAGCTCTGATGATTTTTCGCGCTTTCCATCTTCATTCCAAATTTCCCAGCATTTTCTAAGCGAAAAATTTCTGCCAATTCTTTTACAGGAGGAACGGGACAAGCTGGCCGGTATCGTGAGCACCAACTCCGATTCGGATTCCAAAGATTCCCTCACCAATAGCAACGGTGCCGGGTCGGGCAATGGCAAGCGGAAGAAGTGCAAAAATAGCAACAAAATGCTACGTTTCGGAACGAACGTCGATCTCTCGGACGAACGGAAGTGGAAAACGCAACTTCAGGAGCTGCAAAAGTTACCCCCGTTTGCCCGGGTCGTATCCGCTGCCAACATGCTGTCGCATGTGGGTCATATGATCCTCGGCATGAATACGGTGCAGTTGTATATGAAGGTGCCGGGAAGTAGAACGCCCGGCCATCAGGAAAACAACAACTTCTGTTCTATTAACATCAACATCGGTCCCGGGGATTGCGAGTGGTTCGCCACGCCGGATTCGTACTGGGGTGGAATCCAGGCGCTGTGCGAGAAGAACAACATCAACTACCTGCACGGTTCGTGGTGGCCCGCGCTGGAAGACCTGTACGCGGAGAACATTCCGGTGTATCGGTTTACCCAGCGGCCGGGTGACCTGGTGTGGGTGAATGCAGGGTAAGTGCTAAAATGGCTACTTTTGTGGAATAATTTGCTAAATTTCCCCCACCCTTTTTATTTTTTATCAACAGTTGTGTGCACTGGGTGCAGGCCATCGGATGGTGCAACAATATTGCATGGAATGTTGGTCCGCTGACGGCGCGGCAGTACGAGCTGGCGATCCAACGGTACGAGTGGAACAAGCTGGAAAGTTACAAGAGCATCGTTCCGATGGTGCATCTGAGCTGGAATCTGGCCAGGAACATCAAGGTTTCCGACCCCAAGCTGTTTGAAACGGTCAGGTGAGTTTCATTTCAGTACCTAGTTTCTCGTTACCATGGTTTTTTACCATTCGAATGATGAACAACCCATATATTATTAACTTTCGTTCTACCGAAATTCCCGTGTAGAAACATATTTAACTGATCCTTGACTTGAAATATGATACCCCTAGAAGATTGTATTGAAGCAAATTCTAATACAAAGTATTTTTCTCCTAACAGAACCTGTCTGATGCAAACGATGCGGCACTGTATGCAAGTGCTGGAGTTCGTCAAGTCGAAGGGCGTCGAAGTTCGGTTTCATGGGCGCGGGAAGAATGAAGCGTCCCACTACTGCGGTCAGTGTGAAGTGAGTATGAATGTTTTACCTGGTGTTTTCCACATGGTATGATCGTTGAACAAATTGATACACGGCGGGTGGATCCTCACGAAACTAGAGGAGAACATCTATAATAGTTGTTGCATTACTGTCAGGATTAAGAAAATTCCATGGCAATCACTCAAATAACTTCCCAATCCATTAAAAACAAAATAGTTACGAAATTTGGACTGCCTGATTCTAAATCTGATACTACAATTATTCTTCTGCAAGTGTTATCGGCAGTGAAAATATCGAAATCAAATTTCATGGCATTCAGTTATGATTCCTATGATTTTTTTGCTTTAGCAAGATTTGCACGATGGCTATTTCTTCTCGTTGCTTAGAAATGTCTTGAATTTGAACCGTAATTTGTTATTTAGCAACGAATTAATGAATCTCAGTTTTGTGCCGGCCACTTTCAATCTAAAATCAGAGGGGGTGTTATTCCGAGAGTCGAAGTGACTTTTGTCATTAGTGAAGTAACTTTTGTTACTTCGTGGTGACGTAACTCTCTGTGCATGTCAAATCCAGAACAACATGTGAAAAGGGCATACAAGCTTTTTGTAAACAAACCTTTGTAGGCCCTTTTCTCACCAACCGAGGGTCGCTCACGCAAACCAGCAATATCATCGGGAAGGGGAAAGTGTCCCCTACCCGGTGATGTTAAAGGTTTGCATTGGTGTCATATGGGTGGCGAGAAAAGGGCATAAGAAGGTTTGTTTACAAAAAGCTTGTATGCCCTTTTCACATGTTGTTCTGGAAATGGAGAGTCACGACGTGACTTTTCTCATTTCACTAGTGACAACAGTCACTTCGACTCCGGGAATAACCCCCATAAATCAGTGGTATATACAGAAGGGACAAGAAAAGGCAACCCCACTTAATACATTTTTTCTTTAGCGCTCTACCCTAGTCTTACTTTTGTTGCTCTTGATGTTTTTTTTATCTATGGAGTAGCAATTTGAGTAGTGATTCATAGATACGTCGACATCCATTTCCTTTACATAAATTGCCTATATTGAGTATTCTAGCTCATCATTGTAAACCTGGTTAGCAACCGGTGGAAACTAGCGATTTTAAATTGGCTCACTGCTTGACTAGCCTATTCAGCATATTGGTCCCATGCAAATCGATTAACGTACCCCATTCTAGTCGAAATTCTAGTACTACAGTATGTTTTGATTCGCTATGAAAGTTTGACAGATAAAACGAGGGGTTCGTGGATTTTCCTATGTTTCGAGGGAAGCATCGATTAGCTTGGGACCGGATAGTACCAGAACTGAGCCAAAAAGTTGAGCACGTTTCTTCAGGACCTTCTGGTCTTAGAGTTAGGGGAACTAGGGGCAAGAAGGTCACCTTAACGATACCGCGTTTTTATATGTGATTCCGTGAATATTTATAGGAGTTGGTTAATCGAATTGTAAGTTTATAACCTTGTCTCCATGTATCATCTTTAAAAATAAAATTAAACCCCATCAAAAAATGTTAATGATTTTTTCAAAATGTCATGTCGAACCTGCTCTAAAAAATGCTACGGGGCAAGAAGGCCACTCTTATGGGGCAAAAATACCATATGTCTAAAATGAAGTGAAACTGATAAATGTTCATTTCTAAGCAACAAATTACTATTCTTAGGTATAACAGCAACTGCTTTTATTGTTTATTCCACTAAAATATTGACTTAACGATATATTTTTGTATATCTAAAACATATAAACCATGTGCGTCAAAGATTTAAATGGAAACTATTTTTGATACTATTTTATACAGTTTGTTTTCCAAAATTTCACGAAAACAATATATATTGGAAACATAAATGCCCAATTGTGTTAATTTCTGAAGATTTTTGTACAATTTAATACATAAATGTAGGGGTGGCACTCTTGCCCCGCATAAAGGAATATAATTTTTGATTAATTAAACAAAATATTTAATAATTTATTGTTATTAATGTATGAAACAACCATCAATAGTGATGTCTCAATGCAGAAATTATGAAAAAAATAAATTGGAAATTCCGAAAACCTTATTTTATGATGCCTTATTCTTATAAAAAACTAGCTTTTCAATGCATCAACACAAAATGATTTTTTGCATTTTTTTTACGACTTCGATTCGGACAGAACTTTTTAGAATGCTTCATAGCTCGTAAAATCACTTCTTAATGAAGTTTTAGTAGTGAGATGATGTGCTTTTGCAATTCAGGTGGAATTACTTACAAATTTAGGAGGTGAAAACCGAGGAGGGCGACACATCTAAATCTCAATTCTTGATGCTCAAAAAATCTCACACTAGCGAATCAATCTTCGAAAAATCATCTTTCATTTCTCGCATCTACTTGCATCGTGCTTCATCTTTTTGCAGGAAATATTCAAAATCGACATAAATCTTCCTTCTATCTACTCAGCGTGCGTGCAGCTAGCCACAGTAAAACACAATCTTTTCTGCATCGTACATAGAGTCGCCCCAGCTCGGTGAAAGCGCTGTTTTAACGATTTCACACCGGAGGAATCCGCCCGCGAATTGGGTTCTTTAATTTTGAAAAATATCTGAAAGAGCTTCGAATCATCAGAAAGAGCTTCGTTTTTTGAGCACAGCGATATTTCTTTTTCGAACCCATACAATGTCATCTCGATTTAAAGTTTTAAAGCAAAATAATAACTTCACTGTTTCACACTAAACTTACAAACTGACAGCTCGCTCCCATACAAAGTGACACCGAGGGGCGCTAATAAGGTGATTTTTGCAAATGTAATCGTACTTATTTAAAATAGTTCCAGTGTACCAAAATTGATGAAATTTTGGGTTTGGGTTTTGATGCAGATTTCGAATATGCATTTACCTCATCCAAGTGACTTTTGATTAACTGCCCTACCCATAATCGCAAGTCAGTCCCATCTATAAAAACCTGGAAATGAGAAAACAGCGTTCAACAGTTTTACAAGTTTTCTGATTTGACACTTAGTTTAGAGGGACAAATTTAAAAAGAAACGTAAAATGTGATAGAATGCATCTATATTTACCAAAAAAATATTCGATAAAATTTCGTGACATTTTTATTTTATGGCCAAAATCTGAGTGGGACTGACTTGCGATTACATTATTTAACGTCAATGAGAAGAATAACCGCAAGTCAGACACAATCCCATGACGATGCTGCATTAGTTTAGCACAGTATTGAACAGTAGAAAGATACTATGGTCACATCGAATGTTATTGTATGTTTCTGGATTTGTTCCGCTGGTTCCAGAGCAATGGCCGGAACTTATTCCGGTGAGTATGGGTCTTCATCAGATCAGAGCCAAACGTGCCAAACCCACCATGCGATAAATCAATTCACATGAGAATTCAAAAATAATATCAATCAGAGTCATGATGAGTGACCAGCACCATGTTGGCCACACCCGGACATGTTCCGGGTATTCCCGGGGAAGTGGTAAATCCTTTCTAAATCAAAATCAATCAAGCGATACATCAAATCACATGAGAATTCAAAGCCATACCCGGATAAAAATAACCATAAAATTACAATAAAATACCAATAAAATACAATAGATTCTATTGTTGACAATTAATCTTATTGTAATTCTATTGTATTGGCCAGATAATCAAATAGTCACCACAATAGGTTTACAACAAATTCTATGGAATCAAAATTTTGCACAATAAAAAAACAATAACATTTATTGTTATGAGATCAAATTTGTTAGAGAAAAAATTGATTTTTTTATGGTTACGGTAACTAACAACCCCCCTTTTCGATTGTAAATGTCTCATAAACAATAGATTATATTGTACATAACAATAAGTTCTATTGTATTTTTATTGTTTTTAACAATAACATTTATTCTTGCTACAATAGGTTTTATTGTATTGTAACAATATGTTCTATTGTTTTTGTAAGGTAAATTTTTATTCGGGTATCCATTGGCGGTCAAACTGAGTATCGTAAGAACTATATTGGCAACATCCGGACATGCTCTAGATACCCTAGCAGGATGGCCAGCAAACCGGGAAAATCGGGAATCCCGGGAAATATCCGGGAATTTGAAAAGTAACCCGGGATTTCGGCGAGAGAACAGGGAAAATAAATTAACCATACCATAGCAACAATTTTTTACACCAGAATTTTAGAATAAACCATTAAAACAGAGTGATCCTTAACCAAATGAATGTCTTGCTCTATTTGCTGCATAATTTTCTTCAGTTTCCCGTCTTATTGTTTTGAGAATTTAATCACTCAGCAATATTGCAAATTGATTTTTGTATTCTCAATTTCAGATGTAAAGTGCATGGTCCTTAAAAGAAAATATTGAAGGTGCTGGACTTTGGAAACAGATATTTGTTAAAACCGAAACTGAATTATTTTTTTTCCGGGGGTTTAATTTTTCGTTGTTCAAAATTCTCATGACATGAATTCCAGAATTAACTTGGAATTCTGCTCTGAATTATCTTGAAATTGTTCTGAGATAAACCAGAAAACACTCCACGCAATAATTAACGTTGAATTCTTTTTTGGATTTCCTTGCATCCCCTTCTAAGAATTTAATTTTAATCCTTCTTAGAATGCCCTTGAGCCTATCCGGAGACTTTGATTCTTTTGAAAATCTCTTCAAAACTTTATTTTAACTCTATTCAAAACAGCACAAATCTTTCGAAATTTTATTTAGAAACCCCTGGGAGTATTTTAAAGAATTTCTTTCTAATTATCAGCCTTTTTTTGCAATCAATTCTGTTGGAGCTTTGTGATGAATCTTTCGCACTAGGGTTGAAATTATTGCCAGAACATGCTAAGAACACTGTTTCTTGTTGAATTCTGATCATAATTCTCTAGGTATTCTTCTTAAAATTCATCTGTTTCCTCATGCTCCCCATACAAATCTCCTCAGAATCACGTAGGAATTTTTCTCAAAGTTTTGTTTTTCACAACTCTTTTTTAAATTTTCTAAAATTACCTAACAAAACAATGTGATTGGAACCTTCGCACAAAACAGAGAAGCGACGGGGCGATCCATGAATGAATAAGCAAGACAAACCATCAGCATCGTCAGCAGGATCAAGCTCGCGCGTGACGTTTTTCTTTTGGTATTTCAATTCGTAATCTTTTGCGAAAATTATCGATAATTGAAAACGGATGCTATTCGGCAATGTCAACTATGCATTATCGCAAGAACTCCATTATGAAAGTGATTGAAAATAAATAGTAAAAATATTTCTAAATTGAGAGTATTTCTAAGACGTGTTGGAAATGCGTGCATTTGTGAAATAATAAAAAACCATTCAAGTGTGTGTATGTGTAAGCCAATTGAAGGATACTCTGTGAATGTTTCAGCCTATTTGATGGAGGTTTTCTGATATATCTGGATATTTTTAAAGATAAATGGAACTATTTTAGAAATCACCCACCTTTGCCATTGCTAAATGAAATATTTTTCAAATCAAAAGGTTCCTCAATTTTCACATGTTGTTTCACAAGTATTTGAGGATATTCTGCGAAAATTTCAGCCTATTTGATGTAGGTATTCTGTTTTATCTTGGTATTTTTAAAGATAATTAGATAAATTGAACTAGGGGAATTTACGTATTCTCGGCAACCTAAGCAGCGACCTTCTTTCTATAGCCTTTTTCTCTAAGGAACGCACACATATGCAGTATTGGTTTGTTTACAATCTTTTGCTGCCAGCTGCTCTAACAATTTCAGTCGAAAGAATTGTCAAAAACTGTTTTGAAACGGTTTTACAAAGCTTCAATCTTCTCTAGTGAGAGCGAGTATTGTCGGCAACCAGTTTTTCTTCGGCAACCGTTCCATTTGAACTGCATGTAAATCTGCTGTTCTATTATCGGCAACTCGAAATCTGCTACAATTTGAAGTGCGTGTGTTGCATTTCAATAAAACCTTGTTAGATTGTTTTTTCTCAGTGATAAAAATATAGTCAAATTGAAGCTGAAAGCATAAATAATCGTTTGCATGCATTCAGCGAAGTGTTTTCGTAAGAAAATCCAGTGAAAATAGTGTTTCAATTTGGGTTGCCGAAAATAGTCTGTCATGCCGAAGCCGTCATTTCCCCTATATCTTCAAATATTGTAGAAATCATCCACCTTTGCCATTGATCAATCAAATATTTTTTAACCCATCTTCAAATTTATCAAGTTGTATAACAAGTATTTGAGTATATTTTTTAAAATTTCAGTCTTTTGATGAAGATATTCTGATATATCTTGGTATTTTTAAAGAAAATTCCACGAACTTCGGCATAACTTTCCTGAACTGCGGCAGAACTTCCCTGAACTTCGGCAGAACTTCTCTGAACTTCGGCAGAACTTCTCTGAACTTCGGCAGGACTTCATTGAACTTCAGCAGGAGTTCCTAGAACTTTGACAGGCCTTCCCTGAACTACGGCAGGACTTCCCTGAGGTTCGGCATGAGTTTCCTGAACTTCATCAGGACTTCCCTTAACTTCAGCAGTAGTCCCCTGAACTACGGCAGGACTTCCCTGAGGTTCGGCAGGCCTTCCCTGAGCTTCGGCATGAGTTGCCTGAACTTCATCAGTACTTCCCTGATTTCCAAGAATTGAAATGAAAGGACTTCAGCAGCCCTTCCCTGAACTTCGGCAGAACTTCTCTGAACTTCGGCAGGCCTTTCCTGAACTTCGGCATGAGTTTCCTGAACTTCATCAGGACTTCCCTGAAATTCAGCAGGAGTTCCCTGAACTTTGACAGGCCTTCCCTGAACTACGGCAGGCCTTCCCTGAACTTCGGCATTAGTTGCCTGAACTTAATCAGTACTTCCCTGATTTCCAAGAATTGAAATGAAAGGACTTCAGCAGCCCTTCCCTGAACTTTGGCAGAACTTCTCTGAACTTCGGCAGGCCTTTCCTGAACTTCGGCATGAGTTTCCTGAACTTCATCGGGACTTCCCTGAAATTCAGCAGGAGTTCCCTGAACTTTGACAGGCCTTCCTTGAACTACGGCAGGACTTCCCTAAGGTTCGGCAGGCCTTCCCTGAGCTTCGGCATGAGTTGCCTGAACTTCATCAGTACTTTCCTGATTTCCAAGAATTGAAATGAAAGGACTCCAGCATCCCTTCCCTGAACTTCGGCAGAACTTCTTTAAACTTCGGCAGGACTTCCCTGAATTTCGGCAGGACTTCCCTGAACTTAGCAGGACTTCCCTGAACTTCAGTAGAACTTCTCTGAACTTCGGCAGTAGTTCTCTGAACATTGGTAGGACTTTCTATGGTTCGGAAAAACTTCCCTAAACTTCAACAGAACTTCTCTGAATTTCCGCTGAACTTCCCTGAACTTCAGCAAGACTTCCCTGAACTTCGGCAAGGCTTCCCTGAACTTCGGCAGGACTTCCCTGAACTTCGACAAGGCTTCCCTGAATTTCGTAAGTACTTTCCTGAACTTCGGCAGGACTTCCCTGAACTTCATCAGGACTTCGCTTAAGTTCTGCAGGCCTTCCCTGAACTATGGCCTTTAGGCAGGATCTAGCTTGACCATCTGCTGTATAACGGGATGAACTAGCCTATGGCTAAAAATCACGGTAATGAAAAAAAAAACCTTCCCTGAGCATTAGTAGGGTACCCTGTACTTGGAATCTTAGAATAGAAGTTGTCATTTAAGTAGTAGAATTATTATAATCATACAATAATATTGTTTTACGAATATGTTTAAAATTTCAATACTTCCTATTTTTCTAATTTGCAATGCTTGTTGGTATTGGTACATTTCGAAATTGGGTGTGGATTCAGTATCAACGGAAAAGCATTAACTGTCACCTTAATATGCCTATGAGATTGAAAAATTGTTCTTGAATATTTCATCTGAACATACCTAATCGATAAGATAAGAAACTCCGAAGTTATTTCAGTTTGAATCTTTACTTCTATTGATATGAGTGACCTATAGCTTTTAGTCTAAGAATTAACTTTAGTGAATCAAGAATCAAATGAACTTCGATCGGCATCATTCTGTCATTTGGTATTCAGGAAACTCCCTTACTGATTACCGCTATGGCAAAATTTATTTTTCAAATGATGCTAGAACAATCTGGGTTCCGAGGCGTTCTCAATCTTGCCGCTTCTGGCTTGGCTGGGGTGCGTGAAATTCAGACATTTGCTTTCTATACTAAAGTACATTGGCTATCCCCATTTAACCTTCCATTAACGAATGCCTATTCTTCCTTTCGTTTCCCCCACATTATAGGTGGAAGTGTTCAACGTCCTCTTCATCCGGGAGCAGGAAAAGCGCCACGTGGTGCACTGCATGGGCTGCGCGCGGAAGCATGCTCCCAACCTGCAGGGTTTCGTCTGCCTCGAGGAGTACAAGATGGCCGAACTGATGCAGGTGTACGATGCCTTTGCCCTGCACATCCCTCCTCCGCTTCCAATACAGCCGCCACTGTCGGCTTCGCCATCGATCCAACAGCAACAGCAGCAGCAGCAGCAACCGTCATCATCGTCGTCTACGGTGGCGCAACAGCTTGCAGCATCCTCGTCATCCATCACCATCAGTTCGTCTTCGTCCAGCTCGTCGATCGGGGGTACGCCCGCCAGCAGTAGTAGTCAACAACCAACCGCGGCGGCCGCAACGCCCATGCAGGTTTCGTAAGGTAACACAACTGCTTCTGTCTTCTGCACCGACTACTACCAACTAAGGTTTAGTTCAATTTCACCAAAACTCAAAAGACTTAACTACTGATCCCTCCCGGAAGAGACCACGGCGACGACGACGATGAAGCAGAGGAACAAAGTCGATATGTGTAATTTGTAAATGAATGACTTCTATTTGCTTTTCTGTACATATCTAAATTGTGTATTCTACTCTATGGAATATTGCGAAAAATAAGAATCCTTGCTCTAGGAAAGGATAAGCTGAGCCAAGAAAAAAAAGTACACTCGTAATTATTTATATGCAACCAATCACTGCTCTACTGAATTCTATATGCTCTTAATATATATATATATTTTATGGTAAGGTCCAAATAGTAAAATGGAAGCGAAAAGGAATGGTTCGTAAGCCGCAGGAATCCTCCCGTTTAACCTAATAAGTAGCTTAATTTATTCTAGCCGCAAAAGAGGAGAATGCCTAGATTTCATTCGGTGGAGTGTTTTGTGTTGAATTGGGTCCGTTCGAGCTTAAAGCAGCGCAAGTGATTGGCTTTTTATTCACACTCACAAAGAAATATTTTCCTACACTCAAACAAAAATGACCCGCAAAAGTGAACGATATAGTTTTTGGTTTATTTGACGAAAACGGGAAAAAAATGAATACAAAACAGTCCTCAGGAAATATAACAAAACAAAAATTAAATAGTCTTAACAACCGGAAAAAGAAGTGTGGTGTAGCGGAAACGGTAATAAGTAAGTTAACATTTTGAAGCAAAGACACGATAAATTTATCTCACCACACCACACACCAGCCAGCAGCAGAAGAAGGCACAAATATATATTTCTAATAAAAACAATGAGTCATCGAAATGCAAAACACATTTAACAGAACGATAAGAAGCAACATTCACATAGTTCGTCGCGCGATCATCAACACAGAACAAGACGATCACACAAAATCACAATCATTCGCTCACCCACCATCGCTCACCTAACACCCATGTACCGTTTCATGTTTTTTTTTTCGACGTTTGGAGTCAGATCTTCGGAAGTTAGGAAGTACCAAGGTTGCGAAACAAAACGGAGTTTAGGATACGTGTTAGTAAATAACGTCAGTTTTGGTAGCGGATGTATCCCGGACATCCAGAAGAGCTGGGAACTCGCTACTACTGTTGTGGTAGTTGTTGTGTGATAGGGATGGTTCTTGTAGCCAGTTTGTCTGGTGAGGGTGCGTTGCACGGTTGGTACCACCGGTTAGGTTAGACAGGATTTATTTCGGGTTTGACATATCGTTGCTTCTTGCTACGCTCTCTCGGTTGCAGTTGGATCTGTCATGGGTCGTTGGAAGGTCTTGGTGTTGAGGTTCTCTAAAGATGGCCTAACGAAATTATGAGAGGTCTCTTCGAATGCTTGCGTAAAATGTTAGGCACTAAGTACTTCTTTTTAGGGCTTGTTCGATGAGAAGTTTTACGAGCATCTAGAAACATTCAATAAGTGTTTTGGTAAATGCTCAGGAAGAATTGTAGAGGCTATCTGCTTCTAGTTGGCGTAGTTATCAAGAAGTCTACTGCCTATAATCGCAGAGTACCTTCCTTATGCGTTCATCCAGAAGTTCTACATTAGACTTTCACTTCGGCACCCATTGACTGTTTTCGGCAACCTAAATTTAAAAGTTAATTTCACTATGTTTTCCCATCAACGCACTTCCCTGAATGTGTCCAAACGATTGTTTAGCCTTTCAGCTTCAATCTGATTATATTTGAACGATCGAGCAATCCAGTAATGCTACATTTTTCTTCAAATAAAGCATACGCACTACAAAATGGGGTTGATTTCGAGTTGCCGATAATAGAACAGCTGGTTAACACGCAGTTCTAATGGGAAGGTTGCCGAAGAAAAAGAGGCTGCCGACAATAGTCACACTCACCTGAGAAGTTTGGAGCGTTGTAAAAACGCTTTCAAAACGTTTTGAAAAATTCTGTCGATTGGAATGGATAGAGAAGCAAAGCAGCAGATGAATGTAAACAAACAGACACATCATATATGTGCGTGACGCTGAGAAAATGCTAGTAGAAGTGCAGACGCTGCTAACATTGACGAGAATACGTAAATTCCGCTACCTACATGTTCCTGGGTGATTGCGAATAAAAAAAAAAACAGAAATGTCATCAATTTCGATGACACGATGATTTCTTCTGGACCTTGGAATAAATGTACAAGACTTTGATTTGGATTGCATTTTTCAGGATACTGTCACTGAAGAAATGTAATGAGAATTTTGAGGATGAATTCTGGAGATACCACCGAGTTATTTCAGAGAAGAGTTCCAAGGGAGTTATGGGAAGAATGCCAAGCATGTTTGGACTAGACAATTCAAATGGTGATACAGCGAGAACCTAATTAAAACCAGCCTTCTGGAGATAATTTCAAGAGTACTATGGAGCAAATTGTAAGGGAATACCAGAGAGAGTTCTAAGGCGACAAACTCTGAGGAAATTTAGAGATGATTCGAAGAAAATTCTTGTAAAAACCATGGAAAACTATGAAGAATTCCAAGAGTATCAAGATAATGCCTTTTTGTATTTTCATTCATTTGGCTCAACCGAATTAACTTTACAGAGTCAAAGTTTCTTGTTCTTTATGCAATACATCTTAAAACTATAGTCAAAAGGTAAAACACAATAAACATTTTATCTTCCGCTATCCAATAAGCCGCTTCCAGTGATCAATGGATGCAAAACGTGGTCATCACACTCATCACGAAACGGTTGCTTTCCAAAGTCGACGACGCATCGACTGAAAAAACTGCTGATGAAGAACAATGAGGAGGACCACACAATGGTTGCTGCCGAGTGAACAGACGATCGGGTGACACACATTGAGAGTGGTCTGCCTCTATCGACAGCCGAGTGAACACTGCAAGATAATAGTTTAAAAAAATCAAAAACCTGAGGCTTCGAAAATTTTAATTTTACAGGTATCTCAGCTTAGAAAAGTTTCCTTGATTCTGGATTAAGAAAAATCCAATCTTCATTATTAGGTTAGCTTTTTTTTTAACATTCAGGACTTATCAAATGTCCTCAGACCAATATTCTGGGATTGAAGACACATTGCAAGTTTTATCGAGGTTTTAAAACATTCTTCAAGTCTGTATCATGGTCATCATGGTCAATGACAGTGCTGCAAAATTTCGACAATACACGGTGATACTCAAAATTCTGCTTTGGTCACTCGTTTGAGCTAACAGTCATCGTCAAGGCAAACCATGTTAATTGTCAGTAGCATTTTTGTCAGTGACGAACATGTGCTGATTTGTTTATTAGCTAAATTTGAAATGAAATTAAATGGCTTGAGCAAAACAATTACATGGAGCCATTAAAGTGAATAAGCATCTACGTCCTGAACCGCTTGGATAACAATAATGTGTCTCAGAATGCAAGAAATTACACTTTCTGTTACCAGGCAAATCTTTGTCATTGACGAAAAAATGAATGAGATTTTGACAAAGATTTTTTTTAGGATCAAGTCTATCATTGACTATGTGAAAAACAATTTTGTCAATATCGCGCAAAAGTCTGTCAATGACAATAACAAATCTCAGCACTGGTCAATGATACCATGATAAAACTAAAATTGTTACTTAAGTCAGGACCATGAGAAGCTTTCGATATTCATAACTAAGAGAAATATTCGAATAGCATATTTTATAACGTATTGTAAATGAAGTTTTCATTGATAATCTGGAAATTTTCCTTGAAGTCATGAAAAAACCTGGAAAACTGGGAATTTGATTAAGCGAGTAGACAGCCTGGCACGAAGAGTCACCTTACATGAGGTGACAATAACCGAGGCACCTCACTTTTCTCGCGGCGCAGAATAGACCACCTAATTAGTATTCCAAATAATTTCTGAAAAAAAAATCAAGAGTTAAGGAAAGTTCCAAAAAAGTGTGGAGTGAAATGCATGAAAATGTAGAGGATGATTCCAAATGAATCTCAAGAAGAGTTCAAATGGAATCCCGAGAAGTATACCGAGGTATCGAATTTTCAGGGTACAATGCCAATTGGATTCTGAGAAGAGTTTTGAAAGAATTTCGAGGATCAGGCCAAAGGAATTCCGAAAGGAATTTTTGGAGAACTCTGAGGAAATTAAACTCCCTTTTATCTGTGAGTGTGTGGCATATTCCGATAGTCGAAGTGACTTTTGTCACTATTGAAGTGAGAAAAGTCATGTCGTGGTGACGTGACTCTCCATTTGATTTGCACAGAGAGTCACGTCACCACGACGTGATTTTTCTCACTTCACTAGTGACAAAAGTCACTTCGACTCTCGGAATAACCCCCACTGTCTCTAAAGAGGCACTTAAGTCACGTTCATGCAAATCAAATCAAGTAAATCCCCCTTATTCTGCGCCGCGAGTGAGGTGAGGTGACTCGCTGTCACTAGTGAGGTGACAATAGTCACCGCGAGTAAGGTGACTTTCCATTTGATTTGCACGGAGGGTCACCTCACTCGTGGTGACTTTTGTCACCTCACTAGTGACAGCGAGTCACCTCACCTCACTCGCGGTGCAGAATAGGCCTCAATTTTCAGCAGAATTCAGAGGAGAACTCAAACATAATTCTGAGCAAAACTTCAAGACAATTCTGATTGATTCTAAGGAGAATGCATGCGGATTTTAAACATAATTATGGAAGCATAATTCAGCGAATTCTCGGAAGAATCATAATAAATCCCGAAGAGCATCTTACAAAAAGTGGTCTTCAGCAATGCTGTAGCTGGAAAAATTTCCTACAAGTACAGTTGAAAGCTTTTGAAGCAGACCGATATGGTGAATCTTAGTTTTACCATAGTAATTCCCATACAAACTTCAAATGGTTTGCGCCGTCTCAGTTTCTCACCAAATGGGTTCAAATTTTGAGAGGTTAGTCAGGATCCGATTTGGAATCGTTTAAGTATTGTGGAGCGAAAATTTCAAATTTTGCATCACTCTAATCACCATGCTAGCCATCAATCGCTGATTAGGACACAACCACATCCCATATTAGCCCAATGTCATTCGACGGTTGGGACGGTTTTGAAACTATTAAACTGTCAGCTCATTAAATCATTAGGGAAAATGCATAAATGACGTAGCATTTGAAGGGAGACGGGGAGGTTTTCAGAAGTGGTAACTGGCCCTGTATTGGGTATAGCAAAATACGCTACGAGGAGGGCGGGGTTTACAATTAAATGGATGGTCCCTGAATGGCAAGGTTTTTCTGCCGGACAGGGGAAAGTGAGTGTAAATCGAATTCATGACGTTTTGAAGTGCCAGCACACAGGCCTTCCAATCGATGCCTCTCCTAACCCATCAATCGTTAGGATTTACAGAAATTTGATAATTTCACCGCTAGGTGCGCTAGTGTCCATCAGTTAAAGAGCTTCAGTTCAGGATCTGAAGATCCATTTCTGTTCCTTGACTACTGCATGGAAACAACTCGGAGCTGCCTCTGCCGCGTTTGCATAAGACAGCGTGTGAGTGGCCAATCTTCTTGGTATGCCGTCTTTGGTAGAATCTGGAATGAGCCTACACATCTATTGGAAGTTCTATTACCCTCATTACCTGTACAGGGACTCTTGCTAAGGTCAAATGGACGGAATCTTCTAAGAACCGTTTGTAAGGGCTTAAAATGATTTTACAGCGTTCGTTCACGATTGGTAAATCAATACCTGGAGTGAGCTCCAAAATGAAAAATATCAGAAGTAGGTACTTGAAGTCCTCCGTTGAGGTCCAATAGACGGAGTTTCTCCACTCCCTTTGAATCAAGTTTTCGAATGTGCCTCCCTAGATCGTTCCGATAATCTACCATGAACCACAATCCAATCCAGTACTGCAACGGGTCGTAACAAGCGAGAATAATGAATTCATTCGGGATAGAGACGAGACAGACAAACAACACACGTGCACACTCTGGTACATTGATCTCATTTGATTTTTCGTTTGTCAACATTGGATTCTAACACGGATATAATGAAGTAACAAGTCGGGAAACAATGCGTAAAATTTTGTCAATTTTTCGGACAGACTCCCTTTTGGTTACAGAGTAATCGAAATTTCTACGGATAAATTTACATTTTTGGTTTAGTTAGCATAATTCAATTCGTCTATTACCTAGGTGTTGACGTGACCACTAAGTTATACGGACTTGTGTGTGTATGTGTGTGTGTGTAAATCAATGGAGTTTCGCGTTAGTGTATGTGTGTGTGTGTGTATGTGTGCGCGCGGATGTAGTAGATAGAAGGAGGGTGAAGCTTGTAGCAGGGAAGTAATTCGATGATAATCCATAAGGTGCTTTAGTTTCGGGCTAAGATTCTTAGCGCGCATGTATATTCGTATGTCAGTGTGTGTACCGTATGTAGTGAAGTATAACCAGGAAATGTGGATAGGTGTGTCGAATATAGGAAGCTATATTAGCATTAGGGAAGGTGAAGTGCTTCGGTAAGATTTACCGAGGTGACTTAGCTCGATTTAGAATCGGTT